TTGATTCATTTCCTCTGACTAGACCTTGAATGAGTTCAAATGTGTCATCCACTATCTACAAGATTGATGCCTTCAACATATACAAGTAGCAAGAAATATAGGCACCAATGAAGAGCCAACAACAAGACACTGTTGCAAATGTTTTCCAATTCAAAGGAAGCTATGTCAAGAGCGAGATGACAAGACATATTTCTCCAAGATTCTTCTCTTGCACTAAAAAATCTGAGAAGAAGCAAGAAGTTGATGTCCAGTATATCCGGGCAAGTAACAATGTAGCAGTTTCAGTTCAAAGGCGCTCCTACCACGACATTCTAAAGCATCTTCGTAGATCAAAAGGTCTCTTTTGAAGATGATGTTTCCAGGGGGAGACATATGATGATGAGCGTGGCTGCACTCTTTTTTCCTTATCATGGTTTTTATCCCACTGAGTTTTTCCATGACAAGGTTTTTAACGAGACATCAAATAACACGCAAAAGATAGACATCAAAGTGAAGGTCTATCTCTCTTCAAAAATCTTTGTCATAGATTGACGAGATCAGAAGAAGCGAAGAGAATATTCAAGATGTATCATCTACGAAAGCTATGAAGAGAACAAGTTCCGTCTGTTCCAGGGGGAGATTGCGTCACTGTACTCTTTTCTTTAATCATGGTTTTTATCATATACGGTTTTTCCATGATAAAGTTTTTAACGAGGCAGTACGCAATACTCTAATAGTGATGGATACTCAAGGGGAGTATTATAAATGTGATGATTATCCATCACTTGATCTTATCTCTTGAGAGTTACTTAGTCCCCAAGTTGCTTTGTTGCCAAGCAATTGACACTTATCCATTCCCAAGCTTTCACTATATATATGCTCATTTACCACATTGTCCGAGAGATAAGATGTAGAGAGAAGTTAAAAAAGATGAGAAGTGTTTCGTTTGTTCTAACTTTCTCCCCCACTCTCATTCTCTCTCTAATATATATATATATCAAAACACATATACATATATTTATTATGTTATGATTTATAACAGATTCTATCATTTTAAGCACTATACTATATAAAAGTCGAGGCTATAAGCTCTTGAAGACGTCCAGGTGGGATTTTAAACGACCAATCGCGGTTGGACATCTCATTAATTAACTTTTTTAGTCATCATATTAGTTAACATTTTTACATTCTAATATTTTCTATATTAAAATATTTATGAAAAGGAAATACAACAATACATATGTAAAGAAGAGAAAAATGTCAAATGTTGAAAAACAACATATGGAAATTTTTTGGTTTAAATGAAAAGGAAAAGGTTAATAATGAAAAGGAAAAATTCTACTTAACAAAAAAAAAAAGCAAGACCAAGTGTCGTTAGCTCAACTGGTAAAGATCCTAGGCAAAGCTTAGAGGTCCCCGGTTCGAGTGATGCTTGGGACGAAACTAATATTACATGCTGTGGTTTTAGGCCTATGGGGATTACGGGCTTTGGTCTGGAACCTCTCGGTATTCAAAAAAAAAAAAGAGCATGAAAGTTTCTAAAAACTAAAGTATTAGTTTTATGTATAAATAGCGTTCTATAACTTAGAGTGAAACACAAAAATATCATACTTTATATTTTTGCAAAATAAAAAAAGCTTAGAGAAGAGGATCTAGGTTTAGGGGATGAGCGAGATGTTATTTTTGAATCTGATCATCAAACTGAAGAAGCAGCTCGACCTCAGTTTGTAGAAGTCTTTCGATTCTCGCTCAATAAGACCTTTGAAGAAGAGGATCAGGGTTTTGACTTTAAGGATACACACGAGCTTAAATTTATCTATGACGAAGAAGCTCCATCTTAGCTTGGAGAAGTTTTATTTTGTTTGAAACAAAAGCTTGGAGAAGTTGTTCCATTCTATGAATTGTCGCGCTTATTGGTTAAGCACGATATTAGCTTTGAAATTGATCATAAAATAGTGATGTCGTCAGTGAGAATGACATGTGCACTACTTGTTTAGAAGAGTTTGACGATGGAACAACCGAACAAGTATCATGACTTTACCATGTGGACACGAGTTTGACGAGGGATGTGTTATAGAGTGGTTTGTGAGAAGTCATGTTTATCGATTGTGTCGTTTCGAGTTGCCACGTTAAATATGAAGGGTGAGGGGGACCAAAAAGGTTACTAAATTTTGTATAAAGGATTTTTGCAAGATCATAGTTTATTTTAATGTAAATTATTTTCTATGGTTCTATATATGCTCTCGATTAAATTTATAGTATTGGACTCTCATTCAAAAATCATAACTATATTGATCATACTCGATTATTGTTTAGACTTAAATAATAGAAATGTAAACTTTTAAAACACGACATATATAAATTAAAACATATAAAATTTAATTATTGTAATATAATATAAAATAAAATATAATTATTAGTCTCATAACGTTAGCTTCCAAATAAATTAGGAAACTTTCCTAATTCAAAAATAATATAGTTAATTAACATGAGAAACTTTAGAAAATTAAAAAATTATGACATAATTTATATAAGAAAAAAATATTAACTTAATATTATATTAAAAATTTGTTAATTGTAACTTATAAGGTAGTGATTTTATTCCCAACTATACATAATTATCAATAACTAAAATATTACAATTCCAAAATCGTGGTAACATATGGTTAATAATATGACAATTTGTTAAATTTTAAATACGAAATTATCTCATGCACGTGATTCTATGTTAATATGGTTCTGAGATTATATGTTAAATGCTAAATACAACTAAATATATAAAAAAAATCATATATGTTAAATCGTTCGAAGATATTGTAAACGAAAATTTTCAAACTTTTCAAAACCAGAAAAATATGTTAATGTTAGAAAAAGAATTTCTGCGTTTTAGTTTATACTAAAAAAGAAAACTACTACTAAAAGATGAGGAACAATACGACTAAACAACAAAATGGAATATATTCAATTAACAACACAACCGAGAAATAAGTTAACGATGGTCAAATAAATTATAGTTTAAAACAAAAGGAAAAATTCCACTTAATTAGTAAAAAAAGGAAAATAGAAAAGTTTTTTAATTATAAAGTTGCGTTTTAGTATAAATAGCCATTTAAAACTGATAATGGAACATGAAATTGCGAGAAAAGGGGAACATACACAAAGATTCGATCGGGGAATTTGCAAATGAAGATTTGGAATAGGAGATTGCGAGATGCTTGAGATTTCGGAAATAGTGTGGCAATACGAGTCTGAAATTAACGGATTCGAGCTGAAAGAACGATAAAGAATCGTGCTTCTCATGAGCAGCCACGTTTCTCTCTATATACGTCTCTATTTTTTTTTTTTTTTGTGTTTTACATGGCCACCATGTTTTCAGCCAACTCAAAATTCCTCGGTAAGATAATATATGTCTTTTTCGAATTTTATGTCTTTAATTAGATTTTACTTGCCATCATTTGCTTTTTTGCAACAGCTGGCACATGGGGTTTTTGGGACGTCATGGTTTTCCTAAACCCAAAAATCTCTTGAATTATCACTAAAATCAAATAAATTCTTGCGTTTAAGGGTAAAAATGGAGAAGTGTCAATCCGGATTTTTAGTCAAAAATATATCACTATATAATTGCTTGATTAATAGCAAAAACACTTTACTAATAGATAAGAGAAATACATGTATGCCTAAATGTGTACATATTTTGGTAGTTTAATTTATAATAATTTATATAATTGCTTTATTAATAGAAAAATCTTTAACAATATAAAACAAATAAGAGAAAATCACACATCATATTTGCAATATGTTTACACCAAATTTTATTCTATAAACGTTTTTTTATTAAAACAAAATTTTAAATAGCATAAATGATACTAAAAAAATAAAAATAAAACATCTGTGTTAAAAAAAATAAAAATAAAAATAAAAATATACCATTATATTATGTTTGCATTACTAATGTCAATCTATAGCTACTTAAATGATTACTAATGCTTAGAATATATTTAAACAATTGTTAACAACAAACCCCCGCGTAGTGAGGGTTAATAATCTAATAAAACTAATAAGGGTTGTTTCTTTTAGGTAAAATAAAATTGCCAAAACGAAAGTTTAGGTGCTAGTTCGCAGCCCCGGCCCAAAAGTTTTAAATGCCCAAAAGCAGTGTTGTTTTTACCCTTCATTGTAGGCCTGTGCAAATAAACCGAACCGAATGTACCGAACCGAAATCGAAGAAAAAAAAACCGAACCGAACCGAACCGAACATTTAAAAATAACCGAATGAATACTAAATTCTATAACCAAAATAACCGTAACCGAATCGATACCGAACCGAAATATTTCGGATAACCGAAATACCCGAAATACAATTATATTTTCAAAATAATTAGTTATTTATAGACCAAATAATCAAAAATACTTGAAAAATATATAAAAATAGTAAAAATATTCGAAAAACCGAAATATATCCAAAAATATCCAAAAATACTCAAAAATAACCGAAATATCCGAAAATATCCTAAACAAAATAACCGAATGGATACTAAATTTTAAAACCGAAAGAATCGGAACCGAACCGAAACCGAACCAAAATTTCAAAATATCCGAATGGATACTAAATTTTAAAACCGAAAGAACGGAAACCGAATGGACCCAACCGATAACCGAACGGTTAACCGAAATCCCAGGCCTACTTCATTGTAACACAAAATATTTTGGGCCTTCTCAATATTTATTTTAATAAAATTGGCCATTTTTCGTTAATTTTTAATAAGAAAAACGAAAAATGGACTCTCAAATATGATATTTTTGGGTCCTTATAAAATAAATTGGGCCCTTTTGCTTAAGAAAATTTTGGAAAAGTGGTTTTGTCTCATAACTACAACATGTAACGAAGAGAATACATCACACCAAAGATTCTCAGTACTACATACGTATTCGGAATACATACATAGATCAAATTAGATATATTATCATATTATATGAATACATACATTAGATATATTATCATATTATATGCATCACACACAAAAAAAAACATTATTTGCTGCTTTTTTACATAAATAGCTCAAGATAGTTTTTGTTTTTTTATTGAACTCTACCAAAAACTATAATTTAATAGACTAATACAAAGGTTATGCACAACCCCATCACCTATCATTCACCCCTAATCGACAAAATTAAAAAGATTCAATCAAGAAAAATACTAAGAACCTAGAAAGATTTCATCACCATCAGAAGTACTCAGATTATATTAGTTTATAACTTTTGCTAATACTATACCTCACCATCATGGTCTTCTTCTTCCTTCTTCTTCGTTTTTTTCTCATAACTTAAGATCTCATAAGAACCCATTGTAGTCTTACTTATGCATCATCCTCCATTAGGCATTGTCTTTAACTCATTCACTGTGGCTCTAATCTGCTCCTGAACCAATTCTAATCTCCTCGAATACACTTCCAACTCAAGAATCTGCTGTCTCCTCCACCGTTCGTCCCCTACTCCCTTACCACCAAACCCTAAATTCATCGACAGCATTAACATCGGACTCAACACACCAAGAGCATGAGCACCACCGCCAGGAAACCCACCCATTGCAGCCATCATCATTCCCGTCGTACCATTCATCATCTCCTTAATCATAGGCGATACACAATTCTTCACCGTCTCTTCTATCATCCCTCCTAAATTCCTCCCATCACCAAAATCACCAGCAACAGCCACATTCTCATTAAGATTAACAGCATTCGGCATTAGCCCTTCACTCGGAGCAATAACAGGCTTATCTTCATCAATCTTCCCGATCCTCGATCGTGATCGTTTTCTACTAATTGTCACTTTCTTCTCCAAACCGTTTTCAGAATCAACATCCACATTCACAATCGAGACATTGAAACTCGAGCTACCATTCGTGTTATTTACATGATTGGTTTCTTCGAAATCCATCACATTATTATCCTCAAACCCAATAATTTTCCCAGTTTGATTCCAAATCTTCCTAGAGATATCAAAAGTAGCTTGATCATGAGGACTTTTAAAGAATACCTCTTTACCAGAACTAAACTTACTCATAACATTCCTATACTTCTTCTTCAACCTCCTTAGCTTCTCCACAAGCTGATTCTTATTAAAATCCAATTGAAGTTTCGATTTGATCTGCTCGTAAAACGGCGCCGTATCCGGCGGATGCGAGCTGTTACCACGGTGGCTCGTGATGTAATCGAGAAATCCACGGAGAAGCTCGATCTCGTCTTCATCAGTCCATAGTCTCTGGAATAAACGTCGAGAATCATCAATCGGTGGTTTCTGATGAACGATTTCGGTCATACGGTGCCATTTCTGATCGGAATCTGATGGAATTGAAGATACAGGTACGGCGGATCCGGCGGGAAGAGCGACGGTTACGGTTCCGGAGGTTGATTTCGCCACCGGAGCTGTGGAAATTGCGGAAATCATTGACGGAGAATTCAGATCTTCGTATTCTGGATCAGGATCGTGATCGTGATCGTCGTCTTCGGCTTCGTTTGGTTCAGGTATAACAACATCTTCGTCGGATTCAGTTTCTCCTCCTCCTCGGCCACCGCCACCGCCGCCGTCTTCTTCTAGATCCAGTGATTCAACGGAGAAATCAGTGTCACGTTGATCAGATGCCATGAAGAAACGCAGCGAGAGAGATATTTTTTCGAATTGATCGAATCAGATCCACAAAGAAGGAATTGGGTTCACGAGGATTGATACGGCTTTGTTTTTGGGTGGTAGGGTTTGAGAATATTGGTGACGAGTAGGGGTAGTTTCGGGATTTTAATAGTTATAATTATGACTAAGGCGTTGCGAATTGCAGGCAAGTGGTCCAGTGTTTGTTTCTTTACCCGTGCTTGGGTTGTTGCGGTTTTAGTTGAAGCGTGATCATGTCTTCAAAGTCAATGGTCTCTACCGCAAGCACAGCGAAACAGAAAAGCGTTTGATAAACGTGAGTGTTGGCGAAAAGTGCGTTTTCAGGGATGTAAACGTTTCTTTAACGTCCATTTTAACGGGTCTGATTGGTGACCAGTGTTTACGGCTGTTAAGAATTTGTTCAATGATTATAAAAAAAAACTATTGAAGAGAATGCGATAAAATTAAATAAAAAAAAAGCGGTTAGATTTAAATAGACGATGATACAATAATTATTATTAGTAACAAATTATATAGTTCAAAAAAAAAAATCAAAAATCGGTTTGGGTGGCGACTAGGCATCTGTCTAGATGCTCATGAACCTCTAAACACTAAAATTATCAAAATCCTTTATTCGATCAAATCAGCTAGTTTTTACTTTTTAGTGCATATTTTTCTTTTTCTTTAAGTTTAATAATCTTTTAATATAACAATACAAATAATATATATCCAACAAAACAAAAAGGTTAAGAAAAATCGAATAGTTCGTTTGGTTAACAAGGCGATTGGTAAAAAATAAAATCACATGCTTGTGAATAGGCATGACCACGATTACGGTTGATTAACCACCGGTTATTGTTATAAATTTTCTTTAACAGTAATTTTAATCATTATATGTACAGTTAAAACGGTTACGATTAAAACGATTACAGTTAAATACGGTTACGGTTACAGTGGTTACAGTTAAATACGGTTACGGTTATTTGATGATTACGATACATTTAATATCAAAAATGAAATCTTACGAGTTACGTGATATTTTGTACTAGTTTTAATAAGATGAAAATTATTTTATAAACCAAATTTTGTTCATTTCGAGCAATATAGCATTACAATATATTTGTTTGAGAAAAAGATCATTTTTTCTAACCTAGATTTTTCCATATGCGGTGTCATTTACTTTTTTGAAAAACTTTATCTGAACATTCGATATTTGTTTTGCACTATACGCAATTACAATTATATTTTAAAAGTTTTAACTATGCGGTTAACCGTACGGTTAACTAACGGTTTTGATACGTTTATGGTTAATTAACGGTTACGGTTAGTATATTTTTTAACCGTAACTAATCTATTTTTACGGTTAACGGTAACGGTTTTTAACCGTTTTTTAAGGTTACGGTTGAGAAACGGTCCGGTTACGGTTAGCTTTTAGTCATGCCTACTTGTGAACCGCTTCATATTTTAACCTTCTCTTTTTAACTACCTATTTTAATCTTCCATTTCAACATTTCGTTTTATTCCGTCTGATTGGTAACTTAATAAGGAGTTAAACTTTCAACCACCTTAAATTAGGCTACCAATGAAAGCCAACTTTTGATTCAACAAATGTTTAATAGAAGAAACCAATTCGATTTATTAGTGCAGAACTTGTTCTTGTACAGAAAATAAAGATTTTGACAGAAAAGAAAGTATTTACCAGTTCAATTCAAATGAAGAAAAGAAATTACAAAGCATGTCAACAAGAACCGAAATTGAGTTTTTCTTTTTTTCTTTTGCTTCTGTTTTTAAAATGAACAATTTGAAACAAAGATTTATTTTAGTTAAAGCAAGTGCATTTCTTCTTCTACTACTTCTAATTACCATCATGAAGGAGAAGAAGAAGAAGAAGAATATGGTAATGGAGAAGAGCTTTAGTATAAACGGAACTTCTCCTTTGTGTTCTGGAAAACTTGCTCCGCAATAGCGGCGCCATTCCCGTCTGCTTTCTTGATCTCCAGACTAGATTTCTGGTAAACCCCTGTGCCTCTCAAAGCATCAGCGATGAAGTCATCAAACCCGATGGCTATAGCTGCTTCGGCTTTGGCTCCATAAACCAACCTCTGTTCACAATTAGAGAGATGAGTACTCATTGTCATAATGAAGAGAATTTAAAAAATGGGTTTGTGTGCAGACATGTTTCGACATTTTACCTTGAGTCTCGAGAGATGAATGGCTCCAAAGCACATGGGACACGGCTCACAAGAAGCATAAATCTCGCACTCTGATAACTCGATTTTGTTAAGTTTCTTGCATGCCTACGAGTTCACAATAGATTCAAATCATCTTTAGGAAATCGGCCTTTGCAACGTTTCAAAATTCTCAGAGCAAAGTGACTGCAGCAAATCGCATACTATTTTTTTTACCTCTCTAATGGCGGTGACTTCAGCATGTGCAGTTGGGTCTGTATATTTCAAAACCATATTGTGGCAGCTAGCGACAACCTCATCCTTATGCACAATCACCGCACCAAATGGGCCACCATCACCACAGTCAACTCCCTTGTAAGCTTCTTCGACAGCTTGCGTTAGGAATTTGTGGTCGCTGTCGTGAACAGCTGATCAAAGACAAAGTATAAACATAAACCACAACAACTTCTGCAAACACACACAATCTTCAACTAAGGATGATGGAAACAGAAATCAAAAATGGCAATGGCAAAACTACAAAGCCAAAGGTTCCTATAAGCATCACAACTGATCATAAGTCATCACTATAAGTGATTGCATCCAAATGTTAAGGTCTATTACCTTGTTGGTGACCGGAAAATGCAGAAGCCACGGAGATGGTACCGTCTTTTGCTTCCACTACACAGTTCAATAACAAAGTAAATCAGATCTTCCAAACACAAACCATCAAAGAACAATAGTAAAAGAAAACCAAATCGGCACAATTCATGTTCTAGGCAACAAATAAGAGCCATTGATCAACAAGAGCTCATAGTTACTCACATCACAACTTAGTAGACACAAGAAACAGATACAAGTAAACATGAATCTGATTACACAAAACTAGAACCGATTGTTTCTAATCTAGAATTTTACCATCTGCATGTGAAAAGAATTCAAGAAAATCTGAAGAAATAGTCCAAAATCGAAGGAAATTTCTGGATTCCCGATCTGGAAGTTCAACAATTGAATCAGCTTGAGATAAAGAGTCTGATTCGAGATCAAATCAAAAATCGCGAAGATCGATTTCGTTGTATAATCCAAAAACAACGAATCTCGAGTAGAAATTTACAAAATCGAAGGAAAATTAGTACTCCGATCGTGGTCGAGAAACAACACAAAATGTGATGAGGATTCGTAATTGATTTTACCTTTAGCTTCTTCCATGACTGAGAACTTAAAGGATGATGATGATTCTGGGGATTTCTGGAGAAATTGAAGAAGGTGGTTGTGTGGTGTGTGAAGGAGATTGAAGAAGACGAGAAGTGTTTTATAAACAAAATCAGAGAAGTCCAAAATTTGAGATTTGAGAGATAGAGACGAACACCAGAAGCTGAGGTGTGAGAGAGATAAATTGTGGAAAGTGAATTTGTGAGGAAGGAACCAAGAAAATTGGGTTTAATACTTAAAAAGGTGTGATTACTTTAAAAACTCACTTACAACATTTTTTTTTTTTTAACTCAATTTTTCTGAATAATCACAATTTTTTTGAGAAATCTGTATGTTGAGGATTGTGAATTATCAAAATTTAATTTTATTTGTTTGATTCGGTTTTATAGTTATCATAAATGCGATATTTGCAGACGATTGTGTTTGTTGGCGTTTAACAAGAATCACGAAAATTGTTAAAGTATCAAAAACTCTTATCTGCAAGTGTTTGCGACGACATAGAGACATAGAGTTAAACAAATCTATTAAAATTTATCTTAAATAATTATAAACATTCCAAAAATATTTTTTTCCCAATTCGCGATCGAAGAAATAAAAACTTATAGCCTATGGAACTCAATATTTGGTGGAAACAGTATCAATTGCCTGCTATTATAGAGCTGACGTTCTCATAAGGCAACAACTCCCAACATTTACCATTGCTTGCAGGTACAATGTTATGATAACATTGTTATCCGGTTATTGCTCTTAGCTCGTGCTCATCTAGTTAAATATATATTCTACGGTAAAAAAAGAAATATCGAATATTCTCTCTAATACACTAAACTGATTTTAGATGGCTGATATGATTGTAGATTTATTATATAAAAAAGGAACAAAAAGTATATGAAGAAATTGCACAATAATAGAATCGGATAAGTCAAATGACTCAAATGGGATCAGGAGCACGTTAGCATTCGGAAGATAAGACTCATCTTCCATAAAACTGTGCAAAAGAATGCGCAGTAAAAAGCCATATTACGGTAAATGGGAATATGGACCCAAAATTATAATCATCTTTCTCTTTTTTGGTCGACTTCTTAGTAAAAATTGGAGTTAGTTTCATCGTTTAATTTGTTTATGAAATTTTATTTTGAATTTTATTATATTCTTAAAAAAAATTAGGGTGAGGACATAGAAGAAAAAAATAAAACCATATAAGCAAATAACTATTTGTTTTTCTTTTCATTTATTCTTTGGTTGGCCAGAAGACCACTTGTGCTAAGAAAATATACATTTAACATTACATAAAAAAAGAAAAATATACATTTTAAAAAGAAGACTATGTTAATAATCTAATCTGATAAGAGTAGTACCTCTCACAAAAATTGTAAATTGACAACCATAAAATACAAATTTGGTAAAGAAAAGGACAAAATATTTTATAGACGAATAAATGTATGTGTGAGTTACATGCGATGTAAACAATAATATAACTATTTTATTTATTCGAAACAATTATTGAACGAGAGAGACGCACGTTACCGGTGTGAGTTGGTTAAATGAATAAACGAAAAAACAATTGAATCGAATGGCCCATTATTGTTGACGCATCAATCGTCTTTCTTTAACAATTAAAAGTAATAATACAATATTTGGAATTTAGAAATTGTTATACGTTACAGTTGTTGGTATTTTTAAAAAACGTTACAATGAACGATGGCAAATATTTTCGAGACTATTTTATAATCTAATATTAAATTATATTAAAAGAAAAAATAAATGTGTATACACAAAAATGCAAATTTTTGTCTAAAAAAAACTTTCTATTTGTGACGTTGTATCGATGCAAACCACATTTAAATCTCACCGGCATATCTCCTTTCACCTTTTCGCTTTAGTGTGTTCAACCAGTTTCGAATGTTCTTATCTATTATCTTGACAATTTTTTCTATCCATGAAAGTTGTTCGCCATATCTCCTGTCATTTCTCTTTCCACATGGAATGAATCGTGTTCTAAAAAACATATACACGATTATAAATCTTTTAGTGTTGTCAAAATCTTTATTCGAGACCTTATGCGTATAACCCTTAAATTAGTCAACATTAGTAGACATTTACAAGAAGTTTCGTCAAAAAAATAAAAGAGCAAAGTTGTTTTAGTTCTTCAAATATCAGAATTGTATTTACACAATTGAAATGCAAATCACACAATTCACCACAAATGTTCGCGTGTGCGGCTCCCACTCTTACCCGATTCTTCCTTCTTGCCTCCTTTCTTTTAAAAGATAATAAGAAATATTGGACCTATAAAGAAAGCATGAATAATCAAGAGTGTATGCAAAAGCAACCACGAGATAGCCATTTACAAAAATCGTTCTGGTTTTATTTAATTTATTATAAACGTTTAAAATAACAAAAATCTTTGACTTTCTACATGTCTTGATTAAATTAGTCTTGATTTTACCCTAAGATTTCAGCCGATAATATATATATATATATATATATATATATATATATATATGAATGCTCTTTGTTTTACCAAGAACTAGATCCCAGTTCCAAGAAAATTAACCTCTCTTTGATTTTAATAATTGTAGATATGTCGGGTCTAAATGGTAACCAAGGAATCTGGCTGAATCCGGCTGAATTGCTGAATTTGGCTGAATTTTTAGTGATTTTTAGCTGAATCTGGCTGAATTTTTACATTTTCAAATAGTAACCGCTGAATCTAGCTGAATTTTTTTGTGTTTTTCAGCAGAATCTGTCGAAATAATTAAGACTTTAACTGAAATATCGTCAAATAATTACGAATATTAATAGAATAACTAAGGAAAAATATCAAAATAAAATAGATAAAATTATCTAATAGTCTAATTAACTCTTATACCAATAAATAAATACTAGAATTAATATATTTTTAGCAAAATTGAGTTGTTCTTCCAAATCTAATTTTTGAACTATTAAAAAGATATAATTAATTAATAGAAAGCTTTGTCAAAGTTTTATTGAAAAATTAATTTAAAAATAAACATGATAATATAGTATAGATTATCTTATTGATTTTTCATTGTTCTCTAGTAGTTTAAATCCTTAATATGATTAGGATGATTAACAATTTTTTTTTAATTTGATATTTTAAATATTATTTTAGCATAAGTCTGAGTTATTTTTGCAAAAATTTGGAAAATTATATTTAAGTATCTAAAATTTATTAAAATTATCTATAGATATCTGAACATAAATATGTCTTTTGTCTATTCTAGTAATGATTTTATGTGTATGAATTATTCATATATCGTATTTGTATGATCTAACTTATTTTAAAATATAAATTTGATGTGTAATTTTTAATAGCCAAAAATATTTTAATTCGAGTTGTGAATCGCTATAATCCAAATTTTATCTGAAATGAACATACTATGTATCTGTTGATGTTGGAAAAACTGTTGAATCTGGCTGAATTCAGCTGAATTTAGTTTTATGCAAATGGTAACTGCGGAATTGCTGAATCTGGCTGAATCTGGCTTAATCTGGCTTAATATTTTTTTCATGTTACCATTTACACTCGTATTTTTTTTTGCAAGACAAACATCAATGTCAAATAAATGCAGGTGAAACCACAATCTCAAAAATCACCCGCAGTACAGCCCTTCCGTGTATCGATGAAGTGACAGTTCGATAACTCATTTTATGTAATATTGGAGTATCGTGCATCTTGAACCTCAACTTGGTTAATTCCTCCATCATAGTGTCATCCCACCATTTTCATGATTACTTGTCAACAATGAAGCAAGGTAACTTGATGTTAAGTTGATATAAATCTCAAATGATCTTGAGGTTAACTTTTGTTAATTATGTTTTGTTGGATTTGATTATTTTTAGCTTGAATTTGATATGGATCTCTGTTTTGTTTAGGTGAATTGGAGAAACTGCGAGAGATGGTGACACAATGATCACCAATGCAGCAAGGTAATTCTTCTTCCTTTTACTCTTTGCTAAATGAATCTTAAGTTGTTTGTGTTTTCTTCTAAATGAATCGTAAGTTGTTTGTGTTCTGTTCGAAATGAATCTTAACTTCTATGTGTTCTGTTCTGCTAATGCTTCTTTAACTTCTATGTGTTCTGTTCTGCTAATGCTTCTTTAGTGTGTTGTCAAGTAGAAAATCACTGCTTATATTGGTTAGCTTTTGATCATTGCATATATTGGAATGTTTTTTTTTTATCACTGCATATATTGTGGTTCTTGTTTCATGTTTAGGCTGCATATATTGGTGAGAACATGGCTAGCATATATCGGTTTCAGAGTTTCAAAGGATGAAGCTGTGAGAAGCAAATGTTGGGCATAAATGGCAAGTACATGCAAGTGTTGTTCAGTGTATAGGCCACATGGTCGTCGAGTGTGTACAAATGGCAAGTATAGTTTGTATAGTTTGTGTAGCATGTGTGAATGGCAAGTGTAGTTTTTGTGTCAAGTTTTGTAAAACACTTTTACACATTTTTTCAAAAATTTAAAATTTTAAAACTTCAATATAGGATCCACCATCACCATTGGATTATGTTAAAACTAAAAATGCCGTGAAAGTCTCTAAATTTTAAATTTTGCATTATGGTTTAGATCCCGAGAAAACATAACAAATTTTTCCTCTGTTCTCATAGCAACTAACAAATTTTCAGTAGAATCCAAAAAATTCAAATCAGTAGATTAAATTTAGCAACATTTAGTCTATATTTGTAATGCAGTCATGTTGACTTCTAAACAAAATTGAAAGTTCAAGAAGATTGTCTCAATGTCCCAAACGCAAGAGGTTGAAGTTTAAAATAAATGTATTCAAACAAAATCTTGACATGTTCTCTAACACTTAAAACAAGATCCAAACCAAGATAGAACGAGTGTGACAATGAGAAGCACAAAATCGAGAAGTAATTAGAAGATGTCTAATAGCAAACATGGCCATAAAGAAGGAATGATGCAGGACAAAAACCATATTGCTGCAGCTGTCCTCTTCAAACATCTTACTTCTTCTTGGGGTCACCAGCCTTGGTCTACAAACAGAAACAATGAAAATATCGTTAAGAAAAACAGGCACGAAACGAAACAATAGCAAATGTAGTTTTCTGGCTAGTGTTGTGCTCTCTTACCTTCTTAACACCACGGATTTTCTTCGCCCTGTTCTTCCTCTCCTTAATCTGTTTCCTTGATTTCTCAATCTTGGTGTCAAGTCCGTTCTGTCAATCACAACAATCATCTTATTACGAGATTGCAAGGAATCCAAACTTCTATGAAAAAAGAATCCAAAATCTATGACTCAAATGATTACATCCCTCACATAAACACCATTGTTTCAGAGAAAAGCAGCAAAAATCAAAGCACCAAGAGTAAGCTAGACTAAACAGTAGACCAAACGTTTTACTTTACTCTAAAAAATGTAAAGAGCAATTACCCTGATCAGTCTGTACTTAGGCTCGAACTTCTTAGCGTTCTCAACTGAATCATAGATCAAACCATATCCAGAAGATTTACCACCTCCAAAGTGGGTTCTGAATTTGAAACAGAAGATAGCATTCGGGTCCTTAACCTCGTACATCCTCGCCAACTTCTCCTTGAGCTCAGCCTTTAAAAAGTAAAATTCCAATCAAAACACAACATCAGAATCTACTCAAACAACTAAGAAACAATACACAAATCCACAAACTTGGATTGTAATAGACACAAGTAAACGTAAGTAAAAAACATACCTTTGAAACATTGGCTCTTCCAGGATGAAGAACATCAATAACCTACATTAATTGATACACAAACTAAATCAATCATATAAAAGAAACAAAATCAGTGCAATATAAAAATGAATCATACAATATAATCAAAATACTAAACATCAAACCTAAAAGTCACCAAATTCAAAATTTTCCTATGGCAAAACATCAAAATGCTCTATAAATCTGTTCTTCTAAGATTCTTTCTACCTAAACTATAGTGAAGACGCAACACTGTGAGATTGAAAATGAAACATAGAGATGGGAACTCACGAATTGCTTTCTGGCGAGAAGCCTGTTGGTCATGAAGTTTCTGGTCCTGATTGTGACAGCTTTTTCTGCCATAGCTGCGATTTACTCCGAGATCACTCTCTGAGCTCTGGTTGTGAAAATCGACGAGTTTCTTTCTCTCGCAGCGGCTTTAGAAGAAGGAGCAGACAAAACCCTAGATTATTTATATATAGCTCTCACTTTCAGATTATTAGGGTTTGTTTGCTTTTTCTATTCGTTTGATGGGCCAAATATAAATTGGGCCTTAAAATATCTATACCAAGAGAATTAGTATGTTTCGGGTTTGATATATAAAGAGTAACGACAAAACAGACAATAAGCCCCATGGGTCTTCGTAGTTCAGTTTTGTTTTTCCAAGTGTACTTTTCTAATTTTTATAACTAGACGGTGTATCTGCGCGTTGCGCGGGATTTAATTTTAAACTTTTATACTTTGAGTATAAATATAATCAATTGAATTTTAAAAGATTTTACTTTACTCATATGAATTATCTTTCCAAAATAATAAAAAGTTTCTCATATTTTTCATTACAATTTTTCTCGTTATCTTCTATGATTCACTCGTCGTCTCCCAACATCTACTCTCTTTTCTCCTCAGATCGTTTTTATTTTCTCCTTCATATCATTCAATACTCAATTTTTTTTTTAAAGTTTCATTATCTTTTTATTAAAGTGAACATCAAAACAGAAATCTGAGGAGATGTTTATCATAAAGCTTTTTTTTTTAAATGTTTTGGTGCATCTAAAATTGCTTTATAGAAAAAGATCTCATAACTCATTCCTATTCATAAACATATGATTTCAACGTGAAATTTTGCATTTTATCTTGACCATTTGAAAAATACAAAAATCGTTTTCTACATATATAATTTAATGTATATTATGATTCTATAAAGTATTCTTAATGTTGATTTTTCTAAAATATGACACTTACGAACTCATAAAAATTATTCTAATTTTAAAATATATTTATTTAAAAAAAAAACAAAATCCTTTTTATTTCTAATGAAAAACTCTTCAATCTACCATTATTATTCTAATTTCCAAATAGTATTCTCAAATATTATTATTACACACTAGGTTATGAACCCCCGCGATATCGCGGAGGAACTCATTTTCAACAAATATATTTGATTGTGTATATGTATTAAATTATTATGATAATATATTCAAAAATTTGAATTATTACATAAAATTAACTATGTTTTAACGTAAATATTTTCCAAAGATGTTAAACAAATTTATGAATAAAAATGAAAAAAAATAATAATTATGATTAAAAATACTTTTGAAACAATTTTTACGAATGTAAAATTATTTATAAGTGACAAAATATATCTCACTTTCGACGAAAAAAAAAATGGTGACAAAATACATAACAAAGAATTATAATATAGAGATGAAAAATTCTAGCCGGTCAAAACCCAAAAATTCAGAAGGAGTTTGTACTCAGCATGACTTGTAGGTGACTAAGAACTTTGCTCGAGAATTGGTGTTTTTTGTTTGTCCATTGTTCTTTTAAATATAAAATTAATATTTATTTTATTATATATATTCGAAAGTATATAAAATTTGATGATTTAAATTACATCTATAACAAACAAATAAACATTTACAAGATCTCATTTATTTATATTTAAATTAACTGAGTAATAAAACTTTTCTCTTGAATATTCATGTGACGAATTGGAACCATTGCTTTTTTCCTAATAATGGAGATAATTTCTGGATTACTATACTATTTGAAACAGTTTATTTAATGATTACGACATTCAAAGCGCCCAATCACAAGCGTCACATGAGGATGTCTTCTCATATTCCGACTTTGTAATAGTGCTAACTCAACATCAATATTTCGTTGTATACAACCCATATATATTGCTTTAAGATAGAAAACATCATTGTTACCATTTAAAATAGTTAAACAAAAAAAAAGTTACTGTATAATCCGTCAAATTCTAAGAAAATTTTTTTTGGTATTTTCATTAGAATTTTATATTTAAAGTTGATTAAAACTTCCCCATTTTTATAATCACTCCAAAAAACTTTAGTTAAATGAGAAGAATTTTTTTAATATTAAGATTATGTATGTTTAGAAATAGTTTAGAGAATAAATAAGTTGGAGGCATTTTACAGATTTTTTTTTTGGATTTATCATGAAACAAATAATCTATGTTAAAGAACAAAAGTTTGGGAACTACTTAGGAAGAAGGACAAATACATAGAGTTCAAATGTCACAAATATTTAAATAGACAATTATTCATACAAAAAGTTGTGACGAAAAAATACAATGAAATATAGTGAAGAGACGTAACTTTATATGAATAGATGCAATGCAACTATAAAGATACAACCGTAAACTAAAAAAATATGACTATAATTTAACAAATAGAACTGTCCCAAAAATATTTCCGTCAATATTTAACGAAAATATGCGATAAAAAGACACAACTTAGAAAAAATAATTGTCAATATTTTACCGGAAAGTTGCGATAAAAAGACACAAACGAAAAAAGTTACCGTCAATATTTTAACGGAAAGTTGCGATAAAAAGACACAACCAAAAAATAGCCGTCAACGAAAAAAAGTAACTGTCAATATTTTAAAGAAGAGTTGCGATAAAAAGATACAACCAAGAAAAAATAACCGTCAATATTTTTAACGGAAAGTTGCAATAAAAAGATACAACAGAGAAAAAATAATCGTCAATATTTTAACGAAAAGCTACGATTAAAAGATACAACCGAAAAAAATAACCGTGAATATTTAAACGGAAAATTAAGATAAAAAGACACAACCGAAAAAAATAACTATCAACGAAAAAATAACCGTAATCATTTTAACGAAGAGTTGCGATCAAAAAGAGACACCCGAAAAAGAATAACCATCAATATTTTAACGAAAAGTTGCGATAAAGATACACAAACGTAAAAAGTAACTGTCAATATTTTAACGCAAATTTACGGTAGAAAGACACAAAAAAAAATAGCCGTCAATATTTTAATGAAAAGTTACGATAAAAAGATACAACAAAAAAATAACCGTCAACGGAAAGAGTAACCGTAATTATTTTAACAAAGAGTTGCGATCAAGAAGACACAACCGAAAAAAAATAACCTTCGATATTTTAACGAAAAGTTACGATAAATAGACACAACAAAAAAAATAACCGTTAACGGAAAAAATAACCGTAATTATTTTAACAAAGACTTGTGATCAAGAAGACACAAACGAGAAAAAATAACCATCAATATTTTAACGAAAAGTTGCGATAAAAAGACAAAAACGTAAAAACTAACCGTCAATATTTTAACGGAAAGTTACGATAAAAAATACACAACCGAAAAACTAACTGCCAACGAAAAAAGTAAACGTCAATATTTTAGCGAAGAATTGCGATAAAAGACACAACCGAGAAAAATAACCGTCAATATTTTAACGGAAAGTTTTGATAAAAAGACACAACCGAGAAAAATAACCTTTAATATTTTAACGGAAAGTTGCGATAAAAAGACACAACCGAGAAAAATAATCGTCAATATTTTAACGGAAAATTGTGATAAAAAAGTCAAACGAAAAAAGTCACCGCCAATATTTTAACGGAAAATTACAATAACATAACCGAAAAATAACCGTTAACAAAAAAGTAACCATCAATATTTTAACGTAGAGCTGTGAGAAAAACACAACCGAAAAAGTAACCGTCAATATTTTAACGGAAAGTTGTGATAAAAAGACACAACCGTTTAGAAGTGTAAAAAAAAAAAAGCATAAATATTTAAACGAAAGGTTGCAATAAAAAGACGCAACCGTTCAGATGTGCAAATGGTATTTATTGGAAACGACATAACCGTAAAAAAATGACCGATTAAAACGAAAATTGCGATAAAAAGACGCAACCAAAATAACCGTAAAAAAATAACCGATTTAAACGAAAGGTTGCGATAAAAAGACGCAACCGTTCAGATGTGCAAATGGTATTTATTAGATTGCTATTATATATAGATTATTATTATTCGATAAGATTATTTTATTTTTATTTGTGATTTTTAGGATAGTTTTTTGTTTTATTGCAAATCACCTTAGTTTTTTCAATCTATGTTAATTTTCTAAACATTGATTAATATTTAGTTTTTCTTTTTTAGGTTTTCACTTTTTAATTTAGAAAACATTAATAATATAGAAAATATATTAATTTAACTACTTATATTATATTATAATTATAAATAATTATAAATAATTTTAATCGGTACTCAAATTTTAAATGTCTATTTTTCAGAAATCAATTGCTTTCTAGTTTAAGTAAGAACCTTTAAATTTGGTATTTTTTAATATTTATTTTCTTTACTCTACTAAATAATTGTAACTCTTAAAAAATAAATTTTGTACCATTAAAATATATGATAAGTTTTTTTTTTCGTATCTCAAAGTATTTAAATTTTTTTTACTAATTATATGTTAAAATATAATGATCTAATTTATATTTATTCAATCTCTATTCAAAATTTGTATATTTTAAGTTGTATATTTATTTTTTTTCGTTTTTTCATAATATTTCATTAATTTTTGTCAATTATTATTTTTATTTAATGTGTGAATTAGTTTTAGTTTTAATAAATAAAATATGTGGAGCCCACAAAAGAATAAATTATGATGACATGGATGTTGATGTGGACACCCTAGATAGAGAGAAAACTCTCCCATTATATATATAGATTTTCTAAACATTGATTAATATTTAGTTTTTCTTTTTTAGGTTTTCACTTTTTAATTTAGAAAACATTAATAATATAGAAAATATATTAATTTAACTACTTATATTATATTATAATTATAAATAATTATAAATAATTTTAATCGGTACTCAAATTTTAAATGTCTATTTTTCAGAAATCAATTGCTTTCTAGTTTAAGTAAGAACCTTTAAATTTGGTATTTTTTAATATTTATTTTCTTTACTCTACTAAATAATTGTAACTCTTAAAAAATAAATTTTGTACCATTAAAATATATGATAAGTTTTTTTTTTCGTATCTCAAAGTATTTAAATTTTTTTTACTAATTATATGTTAAAATATAATGATCTAATTTATATTTATTCAATCTCTATTCAAAATTTGTATATTTTAAGTTGTATATTTATTTTTTTTCATTTTTTCATA